GTTTTCAGGCAATCACAGGAATAGGGTGGGAAAATTAGTGCCTGCCTTATAAAATCTTCTCTTTCCATAGGATATGACTGGACATATTGTTAATGTCAGTGTTCTTTTAGCATTTTCTGTCATGATGCGACTTGGCAAACTGACTAATTGTCCTGTGTAATGTAGCATTTCCTGTACAAAACACTCAAGGATAACTGATAAATTTATGGCTACAATAAGAAAAAAAGAGCTTAATTAACAAGCTATTTCTCCACGTTCCATTTTTGGAATGAAAAAGGTCACTTGAATACAGCAGTTTTGTCTTCCGTGTAAGGTCAGCGTGGTTAAGTGAAAAAAAACGTTTAGTAATGCTCAATTGTAAGGTACAAGGAATTCCAGGTTCATATCGTGTACACAAACAGAATTACAATCTGAATAAACAGACTCAAAAAGAAATATCATGAATCAGTGCAAAGGCAACACCATCATTTAAATTGTGTACCATATATAGTATTGACCTCTTACAATGCAAAGCACACCATTATTTCCTCGACATTTTGATTTGCAAGACCGGTCAACACATCTCAACCAGTTAGAAGAAAATTCACAGATATACGTATCTGGATGATATTGAATGAGCTAAATGCAGAGAACTGGATTATTTCCATCCTGACATTGACACTGAAGACATAGCAATCTCAAGGAAATCATGGGAACTTGTGCATAAATGGTCTTGTCCCTTTCCACAAAGGTTCACAGAGGCTGCATCCATTGGAATTCACAAGATAACAATATTAGATTGGATGCCCAGCAAATTTCAGTGATTATTAGCCACTGTTTTGTGAAAGCCAAAGCTTAGGGACTCCAGAGTGTGTGATGGAATTTAACCAGGTAACCTGCATAGCTTGCCATTGAGAGAGCTGTCCAATGATGTGATGATTCATCAAGACAAGGATGAACGGGTTTCAATTGACAGAAGCCAGTGTCTATTCTCATATGCCATATAATTACAACAACAACAACAAGATTCCATTTATAAAGCGCCTTTCACGTCAGGAGGACGTCCCAAGGCGCTGCACAGTTGGGTCATGACCCGAGCAGGGGGGAAATGGTCAGGGTGACGGGAGGGAAGGGAGGGAGCGAGGAGGGGGAAATGGTCAGGGTGAGGGGAGGGATGGGAGGGAGCGAGAAGGGGGAAGAGAGTCGAGAGGGGAGCTGAAGGCTCGGTCAAAGAGAAAGGTTTTGAGACCGGCCTTGAAGGAGGAGAGGGAGGAAGCGGCGAAGGCACTGGGGGATAGAGTTCCAGAGCCTCGGGGCTGAAGGCCCGACCACCAATGGTAGGGCGATTGGGGCGGGGGATGTGGAGCAGACCGGAGCCGGAGGAACGGAGGGTACGGGCAGGTAGGTAGGGGGATAGTAGGTTGGAGAGGTAGGAGGGAGCGAGGCCGTGAATGGCCTTGTAGGTGAGGATGAGGATCTTGAATTCGATCCTCTGGGGGATGGGGAGCCAGTGGAGGCGAGCGAGGGTGGGAGTGATGTGGTCCTGGTGCGGGACAGTACACGAGCTGCAGAGTTCTGAATGACCTGCAGCTTGTGGAGGGAGGTGGCGGGAAGGCCGGCGAGGAGAGAGTTCCCATAGTCCAGCCTTGAGGTGACAAAGGCGTGGACCAGGGTTTCAGCAGCGTGAGGGGTGAGGTAATGGCGTAGTCTGGCGATGTTCCGGAGGTGATGGAAGGCGGTGCCAGTTGTGGTGCGGATGTGAGGGAGAAAGGACAGCTCAGGGTCGAACAAAACGCCGAGGTTCCTGACTGGCTTTGAGAGGTGGAGAGTGCAGCCTTGGATGCTGATGGTGTCGACGCCTGAGGTGCGGAGGCGCTGACGTGAGCCAATCAGGAGGGCCTCGGTTTTTCGCACGTTGAGCTGAAGAAAGTTGTCTCTCGTCCAGGACTCGATGTCGGACAGGCAGGCTGTCAGGACATCGGTGGTCGTGGAGTTGAGAGTAGAGGAGGAAAGGTAGAGTTGGGTGTCATCCGCATACATGTGGAAGTTAACTCCATGTCTGCGGATGATGTCACCAAGGGGGAGCATATAGAGGGTGAAGAGGAGGGGACCGAGGACAGAGCCCTGAGGGACTCCACATGAGACAGTACGGGGGGTGGAGGAGAAGCCATTCGTCGAGACAAAGTGAAGACGGTGAGAAAGGTACGACCTAAACCACTCAAGGACAGTGCCTTGAAGGTTGAGGTGGGAGGACAAGCGGTGGAGTAGGATAGCGTGGTCGACCGTATCAAATGCTGCCGATAGGTCGAGGAGGACGAGGAGGCAGAGGGAGCCCTGGTCACAGATGGTCAGGATATCATTGGTGACCTTGACCAGGGCAGTTTCTGTGCTATGGGCAGCACGGAAACCTGACTGAAGGGGTTCGAAAAGAGAATGGGTGGAAAGGAAAGAGCGCAGTTGGGAGGCGACAACTCTTTCCAGGACCTTGGAGAGAAAGGGGAGGTTGGAGATGGGCCGGTAGCTTGATAGCTGCGACGCATCAAGGGAGGGTTTTTTCAGGGTGGGCGTGATGGTGGCAGTTTTTAAGGGAATGGGGACAGAGCCAGAGGAGAGGGACAGGTTGATGATGTCAGTGATATGTGGGGCAAGAAAGTGGAGCTGGGAGATAAGGAGTGGAGTGGGGATGGGGTCAAGGGAGCAGGTGGTTGGTTTTAGGGATAGGATGAGTTTCGTGACAGAGGGTGGGGAAACGGGTACAAAAGCGAGTAGCGGAGGATGGGTAGCAGTCGGAGTGTGGGAGTGAGGGGGTGGGGGGTTGACAGCACAAATTTACATTTAAATATTGCCTTTCATGTCACCAGGACTTTCCAAGATGCTGGACAGTCTAAGGTTTGCACCTGAGTTGGAGTTGGAGGTGGGTGCTCGGGAGGGTGGGATATTGTCAGGAATATAGAAGAAAGCCCCAAAAAGCAAATGAGTGCATGGAATCTAGTACTGCATAAAGGAGATGCTCCTTAAGACAAGAACCTGTGGGTGACAAAACCTTAGAATGGATTGACGTACAATTAATAATGAATTCTAGCCCAATGTGCAGGAATGATGGAAATTACTGAAGTTTGCATAAGAATTTCTATTCCATGTCTTAGAGTGCAAACTATATGTTAAACAAGTCTTTGCACCCCTTCCTAAACAGCTTTAGAAACACAAAAAAAATGAAAAACATTAGTTGAACTGCCACATTTTATTTCAAGATGGCATTCAATGTCAATCTCCACATCAGGGCTACTGCATGATATTTGATTGACAACCGTAAATTATGCAATGCTTATGCAATTTAGAATGTGACAAAATACTTAATGATGTGACATTGCTGCAAAATCGACATCAAAACAATTGTTATATTTTGAAATACAGTAGCTTTTTAAAATGCGTAGTCTCTTCAACACATCATTTCACATGTTGCCCCAGGCTCCATTTAAGATAATGTACAGTAATTTCTGCGCTGCTGCATCGACAGGAACCAAGCACATTACGGTCATTCTGACGCATATTATTAAGAGCTTCGCAAAGTACATATCTCATGCCAAAATTATCTGAAGCGGTCTTCTATTTATAATTTCTCAGACATTCAGTACGTTATGAGTGCATTTTCAAAATGAAATTAAAAGTTTCCATGCTTTTCCTGCCTTAATATATGAATGAACTTGACTTTAAGGTGGGGTGAAACAGCAGTATTTCACGTCTTAAGGATTTGACGTTTCTGCAAACTGAATGTTTCTTCAGTCTCTGCAGTAAGTGATGATAATAAACCAGATTTGGTTCCTGTACATTTGACCATTGTGTTTGAAAGTGTACATTCCTTATATTTTTTCCACAAGATCTTTCCAAGATACTTACTTCAGACTTAATCAAGTGCACTTCACCTCAATTAAGTCAAGTGAAATTACATTTGTGTACAAGACAATCATCTAGATAAGGGGAGATATTTGGGAGTTGCAGCTTAAAATGAGCTACGAGAAAAGATAGAATCTTAGTAAACATTCTGAGGTGTAGGGAGCTCTAACCAAGAAAATATATCCTCCGGATCAGTCGCTGACAAGGTAGAATAGCAATAATGAAATAAGCATCCTTGATGATTTTTCACGGTCCCGATAGATTCCAGAATAGACTGCCTCAATTGCTACAATCCAATGTTGCCATTTTCACTTTTTCTCAAGGGCAAAACTAGTTTTTAACAATTCCTGAGTTGAAGAATGGACAGAATTCTCCTTTTTCGCCCACCCCCAGCAATTTCTTAGTTTTCAAAATAGTGAATAAAATTGTATGCTGATCGAGCAATACGAAAGCAGGATGATGAAGGCTGTACAATATTACTCTGGATGTAAGAGAGGAAGGACAGACAAAGCTTTGTAACTAAGATAGTTCTATAATGCCATCTGCCAGCCTCACAACCATCACAGTCCATCTCAAAAACAGCACACCTGACAGCGCGTTAAGAAAACACAAACAGTATAAATTACTCCATTTCTGAAAAATTGCTGGCCAAATACCATGAGATAGAAATCACGAGTGCATTGGGATTCTGTGTAGACTTGAAACGAAACTATTAACCAGACATGTTCAAGAATCAGAACCGCTCCACTGACAATAATAATTGGCTACATAGTGTTTTGGATAATCAAAAATTCCAGTTGCAGTTTCAGCCTGGAAAGAAGATATCAATTTGGAAAAAATATTCCACAATTAAATATATAGAGTGTGTTTTACTATAACAGTACTAAAATAATTCTTGCTTTTTAACCATTTAAATTTAAACACTGTATTTCTATTAATTTGCACATGTTTCTACGCAATATATTTGATGAAAACAAGTACTAGCTGGCTGAACTAGAATAACAATAATAATTAATAATAACAACACCCGTCTCGAGCATGTATCTTTCAAAAAAATACAAGCCTGCAAAAAAATCATAGGTGACTATAAAATTGTAACAATCATTTTGACCACAGGTGCTTCAAACCTTCCAACATCCGATCAAGGCGCTGTCGCTTTACTTTATGTTTTTCCATGACAGATGAAGGCAGGAACGAGGAGGGGTTCAAAGGTCTTCACCGAACTGTCTAGCTGCACAACTTGAGAAAAACACACAAATCTAATCGATATGGATTACTGAGCTGTTGAGAGTTTAGCTGTTCCTCACCTGCAAAGAAAAAAAATCTATTTTATTTGGTACATTATTAATGTATAGCGCGGTGTACATTAGATATATATATATATATACACACACACACACACACACCCCTCTCAGGTTTGTGATGGTTATTTGATGCGGTGTTGTATCAAGCTGACATCTGCTGGTTTAGATTGGATCAATCACTGGCAGTCTTTGCAGACTGAGAAGCTGCAGAAACCAAATTGTCTTCTGCACAATCCTGCTGTGCTATATTGATTTTGTTAAAAATATTTAATACAATATATTGCTAATTTATTACTGCTATTAACACAATCTATTTTTACTGCAAATTTAGTCACCACACTGATAATAACCAAAAGGTGGCGAGATAATTTGCTCTGTACTGTGTCAAATATTCATAACAAACTGCATCACACTTTTCCCATCTTGTTAAAAATCTATTGCAATAGTTTAGACTACATTACCTTTTCTTTTTTTATCATCTATGAGTGCAAAACACTTGACATGTTTAAGACTCTCCACTTCCAGCTACAGAGAACTCACAGAAGCAGAGTTTCTGTTTGTATATTTCTAAACTAGCAATCCTTCCCGCAAACTCTTGGTTTAAGCTTAGAGAACATGTGTGAATTGGCTGAAGCCAAGCCACAGTCAAAACTGTCTTCAACAACCTCTCTGGGGACTGCTCCAAAGTGGCTTTTATGTAAGGTTGGCCTCCGAGCATGAGTTTCTTGGTGTGTGAACACACACTGAAGGGGCTTTTTCAGGGTGGTTGTTAACAGAGGTGGTTGCTTGAACAGGTTTCACTGCATTAGAAACCCTGAAGTGTGCATTGAGGTAATGGGACAGTTTGCAGGTTATCAGGAGCTGAGGGGGAAAACCCCCATCCCCCAAGGACTTTACTTGTTGATGATCCAGACAGGCTAGTAAATCATTGTCAGTGTCGGAGCAGTCCAAAGAATTCACTCAGTGTCACTCTTCATTTGCCAGGTGTGTCACCGTGAGGCCAGCTGAACATCAGAAAGGCGACACTTACTTACCCCCATATAGGTTTGACTTCTTGCGAGACAGATACCCACTACCAGGAACTCCACGAGCAGTACACTGAGTGGCACAGTTGCAGTTAATCAGCAGGAATGCATTTCCACCATTGACTAGACTACAACAGCACAAATGCTCTAACCATTAAACAATACCTCCACCAGTCAGAGGTCAAAAGCTTCAACAATACAACAGAAGCCGGTTATCACAAAACTAGTCCAGACAACTCAATCTTTTGACATATAACTGCTCTTTTCCACCCAGTGGAGTCCTGCAGCTCAGTGGTTAGAGCACTCGCCTCGCAAGCGAGAGACCTGGGTTTGATTCACAGCAGGGCGAAATGTTGAACAAGTTTCCGTGCTTCACATGATTTGGTTTACCTAGCAATAAGTCGGAACCTGGTTGTTAGTCGATTGGCGGATCACTTTTCCAGGGGGTAATAAATCCTTCAAAAAATATAATAAATTGGTCACTCAATCCACAACTGTTGGTGGACACTGCTGTGCACAGTTGGCTGCCGCATTTCGCCCTCAAAATATACAGTCAATTCACTTTACAGTATATTTTGTGAATTGCTTTGAGACATCTCAAAGATGTGATAAGATGGTATATCAAATGCAAAGATTATTATTATGTAAGAACTGGAGGAAGCCCTGTGTACTCATTTCCAGTGAACTTCACTTGGCATTATTTACAAGCGAGTTCAAACTTGGACTATTTTTCTGCCAGCTTTCCAGTGGCCATTTTCTTTCTGCTTGGCTCTAGTAGGTATTACTGCAGCCATGGTGTGGGGGGGGGGGGGGATTTTTTTTTGTCAAAATCAGCTTGCCATTCAAACTCAGCCTCTGCTGACACTCCAGTGCTGGGGGTGTGCTGCATTGCCAGAGGTGCCATCTTTCAGATCAGACTTAAATCAAGGCCCCCCATCTGCCTTTTCAGGAGGGCATTAAAGATCCCATGACACTACTCGAAAAGAAGAGACTTTCTTCCAGTTTCCTGGCCAACAATCCCCCATATAAAATTGGTAAATTATTTCATGCTGTTTACGGGCCATTGCTGTGTGCAAGTCGGATGCCGTGTTTACCTACAAGTACATAGTTTCTTCACTTTACAGGAATTCCTGAGAAGCATTTCGAGACATCTCAACAACATAAGGCTATACCAAAATGCAAGGATATTGTTATGATTTTTATGAGCCTGCATGTGGTAGAAACTGAATATTGTATGATGAGGGGAATCAGAGCACAACATAATTTCCCGTAAGATGGCTTGGGGTCTTGGAAAGAAGATAGGATTACTCCCACTAATAGGAAGTTAATGGAAATGCCTCAATTGTTCGATTTTGGAAATCAAATACTCTATAAAGGGCAAAAGATAAACAGAAAATATCAGCCTCAGGATTATTCTGATTCACTGTTTTCATAGAATTTTACAGCATAGAAGGAGGCCATTCAGCCCATTGTGTCTGTGCCGGCTCTTTGAAAAGAGCTATCCAATTCAATCCCACTTCCCTGCTCTCTCCCCATAGCCCTGCAAACTTGTCCTCCCCAAACAATTGTCTGCTTCTCCCTTAAAAGTTATTATCGAATCAGCTTCCACCACTATTTCAGACAACGCATTCCAGATCCGAACAACTCGCTGTGTGAAAAAAAATTCTCCTCACCTCCCCTCTTGTTTCTTTTTAAAATTATTTTAAATTTGTGTCCTCAGGTTACCAACCCACCCGCCAGTGGAAATAGTTTCTCCTTTTTCACCCTATCAAATCCCTTCATAATTTTAAAAGCTTCTATTAAGTCTCCTCTTAACCTTCTCTGCTCCAAGGAGAATAATCCTAGCTTCTCTAACCTCTTCTCATAACTGACGTCCCTCATTCTTGGTACCGTTCTGGTAAATCTCCTTTGCACCCTCTCCAATGCCTTGGCATCCTTCCTAAAGTGCGGTGCCCAGAACTGAACACAGTACTCTACCAGTGTTTTATAAAGGTTCATCATTAACCTCCTGACTTTTGTATTCTATTCCCCTATTTATAAAACCTAGTATCCTGCATGCTTTTTTAAAAAAAAACAGCTTTATCTACCTGTCCTGCTACCTTCAAAGATTTACTGATATGAACCCCCAGGTGTCTGTTTCTTCACCCCCTTTAAGATTGTACCATCAGCTTATATTGCCTCTCCTCATTTGTCCTCCCAAAATACATCACTTTGTATTTCTCCACATTAAACTTCATCGGCCACATGTCTGCCCATTTTACCAGTCTGTCTATATCCATTTACAGTCTGCTACTATTCACCTCATCATTTATTACTTTTCCTAGCTTAGGAAATATGCAATATGCAAACCTGGAAATTTTACTCCCTATATCCAAGTTCAGGTCATTTATATATATTAAAATCAACAGTGGTCTTAATACTGACCCCTAGGGGACACCACTGCACAGCTCTCTCCAATCAGAAAAACAACTGTTCATCACCACTCTCTGCTTTCTGGCTCCCAGCCAGCTCTGTATCCACTTTCCCTTTAATACTGTGGGCTTCCATTTTGCTTACAAGTCTCTTATTTGGCACTTTATCAAACGCCTTTTGAAAATCCATATAAACTACATCAACTGCACTACCTTCATCCATCCTTTCCATTACTTCATCAAAAAACTCGATCAGGTTTGTTAGACATGATTTACCTTTAACAAATCCGTGTTGACTGTCCTTTATTAACCCATATCTTTCTAAGTGAAAATTTATTTTGTCCCTGATTATAGTCTCCAGAGGTTTCCCCACTACTGATGTTAGGCTGACTGGCCTGTAGTTCCCGGGTTTATCCTTCTGTCCCTTTTTGTACAGGGGAGTAATATTTGCAACCCTCCAGTTCTCTGACACCACCCCGGTGTCCAAGGAAGATTGAAAGATTGTGACCAGAGCCTCCGTTGTTTCCACCCTTACTTCCCTCAGTAACCAAGGATGCATCCCGTCCAGACCGGGTGACTTATCTACCTTGAGCACCGTCAACCTTTCCATTCGGCTTATTCTTGTTATCCAATTTCTCTACCCTCGCCTCCGATACTGTGGCATTGGCTGCATCCTCTTCTTTTGTGAAGACAGATGCAAAGTACTCATTCAGTACATCAGCCATGCTCCACAAGAGGATTTCCTCTTTGGTCCCTAATTGGACCCTCCTTACCTTTGACTAACCTTTTATTCTTTGTATGCTTATAAAATATTTTAGGGTTCCCTTTTATATTACCCGCTAATCTTTTCTCATACAACCTCTTTGCCTGTCTTATTTCCTTTTTCAGTTCTCCTCTGTACTTTCTATATTCCATTTAATTATCTTCTGTACTTTCAACCTGACATTTATCATAAGCAGCCTTTGTCTGTTTTATTTTAATCCCAATTTCCTTATTCATCCAGGGAGGTTTGGATGCCTAACTTTCCCTTTTGTAGGAATGTATTTGTTCTGCCCTGAACTATCTCCTCCTTGAATGCTTCCCATTGCTCGTTAAGATGTTTTACCTGCCAATCTTTCTTTCCAGTCCACCTTTTTAACTCACTGAAATTAACCCTCTTCCAGTTAAGTATCTTCACCTTTGATTGCTCCTTGTCCCTTTTCATAAGTACTCTAAATGTAATGATGTTGTAATCACTGTTGTCCACATGCTCTCCTACTGAAACCTGCTCCAATTCATTCCTTAGAACTAGATCCAGCGCTGCTTCCTTCCTCATTGGGCTGGAAACATACTAATCCAGAAAGTTATCCTGCACACATTTCCAGAATGATTTCCCCTCTTTGGTCTTTACTCTGTTACTTTGTCACTCTATATTAGGATAATTGAAGTCCTCCATTATCACTACTCTATTAGTTTCGCATCTTTCTGAAATCTGCTTGTAGATTTGCTCGTCTATCTCCTTCCCACTATTTGATGGTCTATAGTCTACACCTAACAGACTAACAGCTCTTTTTCTGCTACTTAACTTTAACCAAATATATTCTGTTTTTGGATCCTCTAGCACATCATCCTTTTGCAGGGCCATAACTGTGTCTTTAATCAATATTGCCAACCCCCTCCTTTTTTTCCTTCCCTAACCCTCCTGAATAGCCAGGAATATTCAGCTCCCATTCCTGCCCTTGTTTGAGCCAGGTCTCCGTTGTTGCTACTATGTCATAACCCCATGTGATAACTTCAGGCTGCAGCTCACCAATCTTATTTGTCACACTCCATGCATTTACACACATGCACTCCAAGACTGACCGAGTCTGCTCTGCATTTCTCCCCTGTCTAATACCTCCTTTTTCTGGACTACTCCTTTATTAAATTGCTATTCGTCTCTCCCAGCCTTCTATGTAAATTGTTTGTCCTCTCAAATGCTACATCCTGATTCCCTTCACCCCTCAAAATTAGTTTAAACCCTTCCCCACAGCACTAGCTAGCCTCCCTGCAAGGACATTGGTCCCAGTACTGTTCAGGTGTAACCCATCCACCTTGTACAGGTCCCACCTGCCCCAGAAATGGTCCCAATGATCCAGGAACCTGAAGCCCCCCTTTCTGCACAATTTTTCCAGTCATGCATTCATGTATTTGACCCTTCTGTTTTGATACTCACTTGCACGAGGCACTGGGAGTAATCCAGAGATCACCACCTTTTGAGGTCCTACTCTTTAGCTTTTTCCCTAGCTTCTGATACTCTCCCTGTAGGATCTCAGCCCTTTTTTTCCCTATGTCATGGATCCCAACATGGACCACGACTTATGGATGTTCCCCTTCCTCCTGTAGAACATTTTGCACCCATTCAGTGATGTCTTCAACCCTGGCACTGGGGAGGCAACATACCATGCGAAAGTAACATCTTTGGTTGCAGAAATGCCCGTCTACAACTTTCATCATTGTGTCCCCAATGACAACTGCATTGACAGTCTTCCTTGGGGCCCCCTGTGCATCCATTTTCTTTTGACTCCCCTCCCCAGAGGTGTCATCACCCTGGCCAGTATTCAGTACAGAGAACTGGTTTGTGAGTGCCACACACTCAGAGGATTTCTGCACTTCCTGGCCCCTCTTCTTACCAAGCCTGGTGATCACCCACACATTCTTCTTCTGAACCCTCTGTGGCTGTGGGGTGACCACCTCCTGAAATGTTCAATTTATGAACCCATCAGCCTTCCTTATGCTATGTAGTGATACCAGCCTCTCCTCGAGCTCAGAAACCCTGAGCTCAAACTAGAGCAGCCAGAGGCTCTTCCTACACAGGTGTCTGTCCAGGGCACACAAAACATCCTGGAGTTCCCACATGGCACCCATTGTGCATGCAACAAGTCTCAGCTGCCTTGCCATATTCTCAGACATGTTTTATATTTTTAATATAATTATTATATATTTTATAATTAAGCACCTTTTTCCACCTCTGCACCGAATTCCCACTCTCACCAAGTTCCTTAACAGAATTCTCACTCTGTTCCATCTCACTTAGCTCCCTCCTCATATTGCTGGGCTCTCTGCTCAGTTAATCAGCAAGAATTTTCTTTAGGAAAATTAGTGTTTCCTTCCAGCCATAGAGTTCTTCAAATGGCACTCGCCTTCCTGCGAGGTTATATAACTGACAAGCAGATTCCCCATGTGGCTCCAAAGACAATAATGGGGCAACTTCAAACCGGCCTGAGAGCCCCATGTCTTGGCTTTTGCTAACTCGCATCTTGTACTCTCCAGAATTAGATAAGCAGGGTGTGTGCCTCTGGGGAGCGAGCGCGCATTCCATTCCAGGCACAGGGAAATTTCCATGTGTAGGTGACATACATATGTGGAAGTCTATCAATTTGTCCTTCACATGTCAGGCACCCAGCTGATGAAAACAAAATGCATCTAGGTGGTGCAGATGGTTTGTACACTTACAATAACTTATTAAAAAATATGTATGGTAAATTTTGGTATGAAGTAAGATTAATGACGATGTTTTTCATTTTTTCATGCAGCATCCATTGTGCAGTATAAATGTAGTGAGTGAATAACACTAGACTCATTTCCCCATTCTAGTTTCAAATCTCTCAAATATCGCAAGGATAATGAACAGAACATTTTTAGCAATATTAAAGATCTTGTCACATTGTGCTTTATACATACATCATTCTTATGCGTTTTGCAGTACCAACATTTATTATGATCTAATAAAAGGGATCTAAAACTGTGGAATTTTTAGATAACCATGAAGTATAATAATAATCCTTGCATTTGATTTAGTGCCTTATCATGTCATTGAGATGTCTCAGCGCTTCATAGAATATACTGTAAATTGAATTAACTATATTTTGTGAGTGAAATCTGGCAATTGATTGCACACAGCACTGTCCCATAAACAGTCGTGGATTCAGTGACCAAATGTTTTTTTTTTGAGGAATTATTACTCCCGGAAAGTGATCCGCCAATCGATAAACAACTGGGTTCCTATGAAGGGCGCTATATAAATGCAAGTTGTTGTTGAAATTGCGCAACTGGATTCACAATGGAGCACGGCGGATTCCAGGAAATAAATGCGGAGAAGCTGTATAACAGTTGTTTATTGATGGCCCTCCTGTGAAATGTCTCACTGGTTAGTTTCTTTGAGGGTACAAAAACTGACCTGCTATTCACTAGAGGTCTGCTGTGAAAGATTACTGCAGCTTTAGAAACCATGTGCTTGCATTTTTTGAAACAGCTGCATATTTGAAAGGTTGCCAGCATGACCTCGTCTGTTGGTGGAGGAAACCAATTGGCAATCAGACTTGCACAAACTTCTATTTGTATTTACCCCTCAAAAAACATTAAAGAATACACTTCTATTGTTCTTTGATATACAGTGGGTGGCATGCACCATTATTGTATTTTTCTTATCTGCAAGCATCATGTCTGGCGTCTAACTTAAGTCCTACCTGTCATCAAAAAACAAACTTTTCAAAAAATTTTAAAAAAACAATAATAGTTTGGTCATTCAATCCACGACTGTTTGTGAGACACTGCTTTGCACAATTGGCTGCCGTGTTGCACCCACAAAATAGTCAATTCACTTTACAGTATATTCTGTGAAGCGCTTTGAGACATCTCAACCTGATAAGGCGCTATATCAAATGCAAGGATTATTATTAGTTTTATAAAAAGTAGTTCATGGACACAATGTTTGTTAAGATTTTTAAAAATCAGATGCAATGATTGGATGCGTTTAGATCAGGCTAAATGGTCAATGTAATCAGGTATCCTCACACAACTCCAGCAGAGATTCTGAAAAAACAATATATCTTGAAAAATTTTCAGAATAAAACTACAATGGATTGGAGTCAAGCCCAGGAACTGCCACTTCCTGCTCATTGCCAGTTTTTGGCTAGTGAACGAAATAAACAACAATAATCCAGTGTATTTTGGTTCAAATAGTAGAAATTACAATTTTGTACATGCACAATTTTGGTCCCTTGACAATAAACATGCAAATTTAAAGGGGAACTAAACTCCCATGGTTAATTCTTCCCTTTCATAACATTACTCATTATTCTTTTCATTCTCGAACATAGCGATGGCATTGTATAGTGGACATGTAGAGTCAAATTCACATTAGTTTCAGGGGAAGGTTTACTTTGCATTTCGCTTATTCCACCTACACAAGCAATTCTGAGATTGAGGAATATTTGTATTTTAAGAAGCAGAACTTTTCTTTCATTCTGATATTTCAAGATGAATCTCATCTAAAGCATTCAATTTGTACATTTTTGAGCCTCGATTAAGTCATTTTTCAGCAAGATGGGATTTTTTTTTGCAAAAAAGGACTATAGAACCATAACAATAAAAATAATCCTTGAATTTGTAGCACACACCACCACATATCCTAAAATATTAGTTTCTTCACATATTTATTGAGTGCTTTATTAAATGTAGTCATGGACTTGGCTTCAACAACTATTCATGGTAAGATATTCCTTACTCTAATAATCCTCTGTGTAAAAATCTTCCTTCTAACCTTTCCCTTTTCTTCATTAGGTGACGTTCCTGAATTTCCTTTTCTCAGCATCAGCGAAATGCATTCAGTGCCATTCGTGCTCGAGTTTTCAGCCATTCTGCTCCCCTCTCGAAGGCCCTCCTGCAAATGGTGTCTGTTTGTTTGTTTGCTTGTCAGATGAGGACAGGATTGGGTTTGGTTACAATGATCTGCTGTAATCAAACAGCCCATTACCACTCACTGTGGACTGATGGTCGCTTAACTCAGTCCCACGTATGCATGAATCTTAATTTACGTACAAACCAGTCACTGGAAAAGAGGAGGTACTGGCAGAGCAAAGATTCAGGGAAATAAAAGTTGGGATGTCATTCCAAGCTGAAACTACCAACAAAAGATGTTTTGTACGAATGCTCCTACAGTTACATAGGCCTAGAAATAAATACATTTTTCTGGATATCAAAAATACAGGAAGGTAACAATTTCAATGCATTGTAAATGGAATGTAATAATATAATTTTAGACAAACTAGTGCAATCGCCACTCCAGTATTACACACTGACGGTGTATTTTTTGTTTATATGTTACTTAACAATAATAATCCTTACATTTGGCACAGCACCTTTCATGTTAGGAGGGCATCCTAAATCTATTTGCAGGATATATTGTAAAGTGGAATGACCGTGTGTTTCATAGCAATGTCGAAGTAGCCACAAAGTGAATGACCAATTTTATTTGGGCGACTATTGGCCACGACACTGAGAGAAACTCCCCTCTCTTTTTGAAAAGCACTATGGGATCCTTAACATGCACCTAAACAGACAGATGGGCCTCAGTTTAACATCTCATTCAAAGGACGGCACCTCCAACAAAGCAGCAAGCTCTCAGTATTGTATTGGAGTGTCAGTTTAGACGATATGAACTCCAAGCTCCAACAATGGGCTTGAACTCACAACCTTCTGACTCAGAAGCAAGAATGCTACCAAACTCACTAGGTTGACACACCAAACTGAATACTCAACACTACATAGCAGCTCCAGGGACTTACAGAGCAGAAACAATGTAATAATTACACTATATAAAGGTGAAGGCATACCTGCTGTAACTTTGGTTGAGTCAGCTTGCAATCAATTAAAGTTTAACTTTTCCTGAACGTCTATACAGTTCAATGGAATTGCACCAATCTGTAAACCAAAATAAAGAATGGTCACTTTACAATTCAATACCATACAAATTTACATTGATATAGTGCCTTTCACCTCAGAAGTAAGTCCCAAATCACTTTGAAGAGGGATTGGGGGGTAAAGGGGGTGGTAAGGGTGGGGATGTGAATGAACAAAAGGAGGATCAGTTCGTTCACTCCTTGGGGGCTGGACAGGTGAGCCAGGTTACGGCTAACTGGACATAAAAATTAAATGATACTTAACATTAATTATAGTATATTAAACAGTACTCCAAATCAATATAATAGTTTCTCACAACTGATAATGAAACTAAAGTTTCAAATCTTCAAATGCATTTTGTCCAGTTAGGTCACTGGCTATGAGAAAAAAGAAGCATTCAAGTCTTGCATCTTACAAGTCAGTTTGACACTGTTGGTAGAATATCACCTTTGGGTCAGAAGATCGTGCGTTCAAGTACACGTTATCTTACTCTCATGTATGAGGTCCAGTCCTAACTTTCTAATAAAATCAATACTAGGAGAACACTGCAATGTTGGAGATGCCATTGTACAAGATGCTAACCAAAGCTCATGTTTAATCCTATGACACAATCTGAAAAGAACAACAATAACTTGGATTTATATAGCACCCTCCTCGCCGGACAGCGTCTCAGAGCACTTCAGGAGGAGTTCCCCTGGATTCCTGGCCAACAACCCACACATAAATAGGTCATTTGTCTCCACAAATGGCTTCTCCTCCACCCCCCACACCATCTTGCGCGGTGTTCCTCAGGGCTCTGTCCTCTCCTCTTCAACCTGTACTTGATCTCTCTTGGTGGCATCATCCGCAGACACAGGGTCAACCTCCACATGTAAGCGAATGACAGCCAACGCTACCTCTCTGCCTCCACCCTCGACCCCAGGACTACCGACGACCTGACAGACTGTCTGTCAAACATCAAGTCCTGGATGAGAGCCAACGTACTACAGTTGAACATCAGCTCTCCTGATTGAGCTCACCTCAGGCACTGGCAGCATCAGCATCCAAGGATCCAAGGACACACACTCCACCTCACCAAGCCAGTCAGGAACCTGGGCATCTTGTTCAACCCTCAACTGTCCGTTCACCCCAACATCCATGACATGATCCGCTCTGCCTTTCCCCACCTCCAGAACATTGCCAGACTCTGCCACTGCCTCACCTCTCAGGCCACCGAAACCCTCATACATGCCTTCATTACAACCACGCTTGACCATGCCAACGCCCTACTTCTCAGCCTTCCCTCCACAAGCTGCAGACCCTCCAGAACTCTGGAGCTTGTGTCCTCTCCCACACCAGGCTCTGTACCCCCATCACACCCATCCTCACCCGGCTCCACTGGCTCCCCATCTCTCAGAGGATAGAGTTCAAAATTCTTGTCCTCACCTTCAAGGCTCTCCATAGCCTTGTCCCTTCTGCTCTCTTACCTGCTAATCCCTTATCAACCTGTCCACTCCCTCCACTCAGCAGCTTCCAGCCTGCTCTATGTCCCCCGGGCCGCCCCACCATCAGAGGTCAGACCTTCAGCCTCTCTGCCCACACCACCTGGAACCCCACCCCACATTCCCTTTGTCATGCTCTGTCCCTTACCTCCTTCAAGAAACACCTCAAGACCCTCCTCTTCGACTGTGCCCTTGGCCACCCTGCTACCGTCTCTGCCCTCCAACCTCCCTGATCCCAGCCTCCCCACCCACCCACTCGCGTCCTAATCCCTGACTGTTCAGCACAATGGGTCATCCTCTCGACGTGAAAGGCGCTTTACAAATGTAATTTTGTATTGTATTTTGTATTGGCTGTTTGTGGAATCTTGCCATGTGCAAAATGACTGCCACATTTGCATACAAAAAGTAATGTTGAAAAATTGTTGCACATGCTTTGAGATATTGATATAATATTCAAATTCTTTGTTTAATTAGAAAGCAGAATTTATTTTTAAAGCACGTTAGACATTAATGTCAGGTAAAAATAAACATCGGCACTCACTACATTGAAAGATAATTTTGTTCGACAGCCTTTTAAAAAAACATAAAATGTTACTGTGAATAATCTCCTTTGAGGAGGAACATTCAACACAATTCCACATTTGGCACTGATAGGATTAAATTTACTCCATTTGACACAAGATTATAACAGTTGCAGAGCAGCTCTGACTGTATAAATTACTATACCCAGAGGGTGCTACACATTGCCACCTGTGTTCTACAAAGATCAATTCTAACACGACAACCTGCAAATGTGTTTTTCCATCTGGGAATTTTCTTGTTTATAATTTACAATGTTTCTGACTGCCATTTCAAGATCTTTGCCTCTGAAATACAAGCTGAAATACTGCCAAATCAGCTTTAAAATGGAAAACTGATACATTCTGCATTTTAAACTAGGCAGACTTTGTTCATGAGTAGCCAATTGGTATTTGATGTTGTTTTCTGCTCTTTGCTCTTTGGCACAATCCTGTACGCTAAAACAAAGTGACAACAGCCCACACATATGTAGACAAAGTTACTTTGTCAATATAAACAAAAGGCAAGTTCATTTAAACAGCTGATGAAATACTGAGAGATTGTGGCTTTGAAATGATAGTCTAGGCTGACACTCCTATGTTGTGCTGGGGGTTCTGCATTGTTGGAGGTCATCCCATCTGCTAAAGATCCCATCTGCCTTTTCAGGCAGACGTTAAAAATCCCAAGATATTATTTCAAAAGACAAAGAGAGTTTTGTCCAGTATCCTGGCCAACAATCCCCCAAATAAAATTGGTCACTTCATGGTTGTTTGTGGAACACTGTAACTGTGTATACAAATTGGCTGCCACATTAATCTACAAAATACACAATCACTTCACAATAAATCCTGTGAAGCACTTTAAGACGGCATCAAATGTAAGACTATTTTTTGTCATTTAAAGAGATGTGGACAAGAGTTTGCTTCAGATAAACTCTACTCTTAATTAATGCACAATCTGAACAACTGCTACTTAAAATATTATTTCACGAAAGTAGAAGAGTAATTATCTGTGAAATGCTTTGAGACATGTCAACATGAAAAGGTACAGTGCAAGTTCTTTCTGTAGCTTGAACTTTTAAAACAGTGTTTCCTACCTTGTCAATTCTTCCTGCCCAAGATTGCAGCTAATTGCAACCGAGGTCAATAAATATTCATTGTTTTGTTCCACCTGCCTCCACACAAATCTGAGTCAGAATATAGTTTTCATTGTGTGATAGCGTGACACCAGTATAACCTTATAATAACACAAATATCTATAACAATGTTGATTATAAATGATGGGGGCTGAGAAAGTTTGTGTGTGAGGCAAAGAGGAAGCCATACTGAGAGAAAAGCTGGCAGCACCATGGTACCTACAAAGACAGGAGCTCCTGATGGAACATTCTTTGAGTTAGCATTGAAGTCAATTTGTATTCTATGTGCTGGCGATTACCTGCATGGTTTGCTTATCTACACTGGAGCTGGTTCAAGTTAGTGTGGATAATTATCTCTCTGCTACTTTTAGGTCTTTGTCCCCTTAACTTCTCTTTCTAGACTCTTCTTTCCCAGTCTATCTGTCTGTAACTTTGATCTTTTTGCTAATGATTTAATTAATTTACCACGTTTCTTGTCTATGTTAGCACAGGACAAGCTCTTTATGACACTGGTCCACTTTATCTCAGACCTCACATTATTAAACAAAAAGCACAGTAAAATGACCGATTTCCAGTCATTCCAGTCACCACTGATGTCACTTCCTATACACACAAGCTATGTGCAAGAAGCGCTACTGGCATCACTTGTCTTGAGAAGAAATGCGCATAGATCAGTATGCGGAAAATTATGTTAGCAATGACTCGATGACCCAGAAGTTGTTGTGTATTCACAAAAACTTTAAAATGACAATCTTGTAAATTAGCTATCACTGACACGTCAAATTAACTTTTCCCTAATCTCAAAAGTCACTTAAGGTCATGGCAAGAAAGGCACATTTTTGAATAAAATTAATCAAATTGCGAAATTCAATCAATTCCCTAAAGAAATTCAATCAACTCCTTATTATAATAGTTCCATAATATTGTCACATTAACTTGTCCGTTTGGAATTTAAGATTTAAACTATCTGTAGGTGTGTATTCTTTTTGCAGAACATAAACAGGCAGTAGAACAAAATACTGTGCAGTACAAAACTTTGCATCATCTGCCAAGTCACTTAACTCAAGGTTATCCATTAACTTATTATCTTGTTTCCCAAGGGAAACGCATAGTTCTTCCAGTTCAACTGCATGAACAGATATTTTGCTAGAAAAGCGTGACATGATGTTCATCATAACAACCACTCAGTCAAATACTCTTTTATCTTACACGGACAGTGTGGTCAGTTAGCACACCTTGGAGTTTCAGAGCTTTCCCTGAACTCCCATTGTTCCTAGCCAGTAGTTCTATAAATTCTCTGTAGGGCCTGTAAACCAAATCGCTGTACATTCAAAATACAAGTACCATAAATAGTCGTCCGCAAATTGTTCACTGGCGATGCTGTTAACATGCACCAGTGCCGGATGTTTGAAAAGATCCTGAACCTCACTGAGAACTAAGAAATTATAAACTGATTCCTAAAGGAGGCTTAGAACATGACAACAAATTACATTAATATACTGCCTATCATGTTGGGAGGACGTCCCAAGGTCCAGGACATTTAGGGATTTGGACGTAGCATAACATGATATTAATGGGACTGAAAGGATTGCTCTTTAAAAAGCCAGCAAAGACATGATGGGCCAAACGGCCTGCTTGTGTGCTGCAATTTTCTATGGCTCCAACCACCTTTTGTTAATTTTTTAGCTATTGATCACATTTTAAAATCTAAGTAAGACTTAAGCAACCATCACAGAAATGAAAATGCATCAAAATTAGATTCCAGACTCTTAAACCAGAATGTCTTGTTAGCAGTCATCCAAGGTTAAGTTAAGATGGCAAGTGCTTGTGGGCATTCTCAATTATTAAGCTCTCTGGTTCAGCAAAGATCAAACAATAATTTACAGTGAACTGGAAATTTTACATGACTAAAGCACGAATGCTTGTAACCAGTTAAAATACTGTGATTTTGTTTTCAATATTCTCATATAGTTAAGCTTTTTTTTTAAAATCTCATAACATTATATTTATAATAATAAAAACTGAATCTATTTATCTTAATGGAATTAAAAGACTCAAATTCAAAATTAGTGAATACACATCACACAAATTGGAATGCACAAATTCACGTGAGTGACATGACCCAGTCATTGCACTGCCCTCAGCTTTGAAACCAACTGCTTGTATTATCTATTATTATCTTTGCACTATGGTTTCACATGCAGAAAAATACTGTTACATCAAGTTTGTCTGTTAGTGGAGTGTAAATTAGCCAAGGTAGGAATTTGCTTTCAACAACCACCACCTTATTTTAAGTAGCATCTTTTGCTTCGGGAGGGCATTACACAAATTGATTGGGCATCTGAAGTGGAGGGAGCTGAGGAAGGAGGAGCAGAAGGAAAGGTGACTGAAAGCTTGGTTGAAAAGATAGATCTTAAGGTGGGAGGCAGGAGCTGAGTTATAGGGGATTCAGGGTGGAGTTCCAAAGAGCAGGGGCAAAATGGTTGAAAGCTCACTTGTGGATCAGGGTGTAGGGGAAGAAAAGACATGAAGTAGGCCAATGTTAACATTCACCACCATTCAAGTTTGTGTGACACATGAACAGCACTAACAAAATAAGGATAAAGAGAAGGTTGTGGGAAGCCCTGAGGGACAGAATGCACTGACATAGAAATTATGGAATTGGAAAGATACAAACAAGTGAAGATCACCCAAAAAGAAACCAGGATGAGGCAGGAAAATAGGAAATGGAGTAGGTCTTCAGTCCATCGATCTTGTTCTACCATTCTATTAGATGATGGCTCCAAATACCCACCTTTTCCCCATATCCCTTGATAACCTTGTCTAATAAAAATTTATCCACCTCAATCTTGAAAATTTGAATGGATCAGACTTTTTGGAATGATAGTTCCAGATTGCCACTACCCTTTGCATGAAAAAAGGATCACTTGATTAGCATGCCAATTCAGGTTAGCACCTGCATCTCACTAGTACTGTAAGCTGACTATTACAAAGCAGTGGAGCCTTCTTCCAAGTAAAGATTTTAATCAAGAGCTAAGTGGTTCAAACAATAGATGCTATTCACCGTGATAATGTGCTACAGGAAGGAAATTGTGGTTGTGTGGATTTCCAAGTTCAATTCCCAACTCAGAGAATCTCAGAAATATCTGGTGTGTACTAGGATCATATATGCCTCAGGCAACAAATCTGGCTATCAACAAATATAAGCACTCAATTACACTGAACACATTGCTTAAAGCAAGCATGAAGAGCACTGAAAGCCATTGTGCAGAACAAAATAGAGGTATTCAAAACGTAATGAAGTAAACAATCATTAAGAGGTACCAAACAACACAACAAACCCACCCACAACTTTTGACAAGTCCTACTTGTTTACCATCTCAAATGTATTTACCAATACGCAGCAGAGTGTGGAGAATGCTAAAAGAAGAATATCTTGAATGGATATTATTTGCTATATTGTACCACCTCCCTCATCCTCCAATTACCAATAAATTAGAGGAACAAATGGATAATATCCCGATTGCCTTCCATTTATTGACAAATAAATGAATGTAGCTGGCTATTCCTAGCTGCACTGATAAACGCTATGCTATTAAATTATTGTATGCTGGGTTTATAAATTACAAGGGAAAGCTCGAACAGGTAGGGTGGTTTCAGCTGGACAAGCAACTGGAAGCTTGCCAGACAGTGCAGTCAATTGTAAAGTTAAGTGGTTTTAGTTGGTTAAATGCCAGGAGCATGCCTCCCCCCCACCTCCGCACCTACCACCTCTCCACCTGTCCCTCCCCAACCACACACCCAATAGGAGTCCCCGGACCTTGGCTCTTAACCTGCACCCATACTCCAGAATTAGGCAAGTGTGGTGCGTCCCTCCGGAGAGAGACTGCACTTTCACACTGATCCAATAGATATGGAATTTGAAGCGCTTTGAGTGTCCTCCCAACACATAAACTGTATTTGTTTTGTACATTCCATTCCAGACACGGAAATTTCCATCTACAGATGGCATACACAATTGAAACTCTGACCGACTTGGACATTAAACATGGTGACAGGTTTCCTTGTGTGTAACCAAAAAAAACACAGAAGCTCCCTAAGTGGAATAATATTGCCAAGAGTGAGTGAAAGCAAATTGTTTAACTGTAGGTGAGAGATTCCATTGTAACTACCAACACCACCACCAGCAATAAATTGCATTCATCCAACTTTCACATCGGGAGGACATGCCAAGGTGCTGAAGAATGGAGGGTTGGATTCAGTAGGATGGGAGCCAAAAAAAAAGGTGGGGGGGGTGGGGGGTGTTGGCAAAGATGATTGAAAGCTTGGTCAAAAAGTCTTGAGACAGACGTTAAAAAAAAGTGAGGGAGGGGTGAAGTGAAAGGACTCTGGCGTGGAATTCCAGAGGGTGGAAGCAGATAAGCCGAAAGGTCAACTGCCAATGATGGAGTGGGCAGAGGACATGAAGCAGTAATTAATATGGGCTGAGCAAGTGTGTACCACCCAAGTGTGGTGGAATTGCACTTTGCGGCAGAACAAGGGAACACTGTAAATTAATAATGTGCATCACAGCATTTCTGATCTAAACCAAGAAGGGGGGGGGAAAAGTATTTGCTTAGATAAGCCGTTACAGTTGCTATAACATACACCAGATTATGTACAAAGCTCTCCAAACCCTCCTGGGCAGTCTCCGCCGGGTGCCTGAGGTTATCATTAAATTGCAAACCTGGTGATTAAAACAGTCGATATTTTCTTTTCAATTTCGCCCACAAAATAGTCGATGCACTTTACAGTATAACCCGTGAAGCGTTTGGAGACGTCTCAACGACGTGATGAGGCGCTATATCAAATGCGAAGATTATTATTAATAATCCCCCAACACACACACACAGATAGAAGCTTTAAAACAGAGCAAAACATTTCAAGGCTGTACTGTGCTGTGCGGTGCTGTGCTGTGCGGTACTGTGCGGTGCGGTACTGTGCTGTGCGGTGCGGTGCTGTGCGGTGCTGTGCTGTACTGTACTGTGCTGTACTGTACTGTACTGTGCTGTGCGGTGCTGCCCGATGAGTGCTGTGAAACGCTGTGTCAAACACAACTCCCGAAGGCAGAGGGTGTGCGTTTTTTTAAAAAAAAATACATTTCTATTGAAACACAAGTCGAGGCTCTCGATGACGAAACGGAAGGTTAAAAGAGATAGAGAAAGAGAGAGAGAGAGAGAGAGAAGGTTGGGAGGGGAATGGACTCTGGAGAAGTCACTCCCATCACCTTCAGTGGATCTGAATCAACAAAAATATGGCGAAAGTGGCCCCCGAGCGGCCACAGGGCGAGTGACTGACTGAGCTCTCGGGGGCAGCTGATCCCCTGCAAACTGAGGGGAGGAACGCGGACGAGATCTCACGTACCTTTTTCAACGCACAGCAAACACAGTGCCCCCACAGCACAGCCACAGCACAGTGCCCCCACAGCCACAGTGCCCCCACAGCACAGTGCCCCCACAGCACAGCCACAGCACAGTGCCCCCACAGCCACAGTGCCCCCACAGCCACAGCACAGCCACAGTGCCCCCACAGCACAGCCACAGCACAGCCACAGCCACAGTGCCCCCACAGCACAGCCACAGCACAGCCACAGCCACAGTGCCCCCACAGCCACAGTGCCCCCACAGCCACAGTGCCCCCACAGCCACAGTGCCCCCACAGCCACAGTGCCCCCACAGCCACAGTGCCCCCACAGCCACAGTGCCCCCACAGCCACAGTGCCCCCACAGCCACAGCTACAGCCACAGCCCAGTGCCCCCACAGCCACAGCACAGCCACAGCCCAGTGCCCCCACAGCCACAGCCACAGCCACAGTGCCCCCACAGCCAGCACAGCCACAGCACAGTGCCCCCACAGCCACAGTGCCGCCACAGTGCCCCCACAGCCACAGCACAGCCACAGTGCCCCACAGCCACAGCCACAGTGCCCCACAGCCACAGCCACAGCCCAGTGCCCCCACAGCCACAGCACAGCCCAGTGCCCCCACAGCCACAGCACAGTGCCCCCACAGCCACAGTGCCCCCACAGCCACAGTGCCCCCACAGCCACAGTGCCCCCACAGCGGCTTCCCTCCCCGCGCAACTCCGGCAATTACAGCGGCACTGTTCCGATGAACACCCCCCCCCCTCCCTCCTCCCCTCCCCCCCACTCCCCGCAAAGTCCACACACCGCACAAAGCGGACAGATTCCATCCTCCGCTTTTGCCCTCCAGATGCGACGCCTCTCTGCACACGCACCCGGTCCTCTCCCCTCTCCCCCTCCCCCTCCCCGGGCTCTGCTGCCTCCTTCACCGGAGAGGAAAGTCCGCTCTCGACGTTTACAACATCTGCGGAACAACGGCGTGTGATGCGATGCACATCATTTGACCCTCTGCTGGAAACTGCTAATAAACATCGCATTTATTTTATTTATTTTTTGGGTAAAAAAATAACTGCGTGAAAAACCCCGCGGGACACCCAGAGGGGAGGAAAACACCCACCAACACCCACAGACCCCGCTCAACAAACTGTTAATTGCAATAAACAGAAGGGGGGGAAAAAAAAAGGGGGGTCAGAGTTAGTTCAAGTGTCCCTATGCCACAAGGAAATGGTGAGGTCTAATTTGTTTTAACACCAACGCGTTTAAAAAAAAAAAATCTGATTATTGCATTCACCGGTGAGGGAACCGGTAACGTTTGCGGAGCTATAAGATTTAAATAGATCGGGACCGAAGCATTCAGTCCCCAACACATCACAAGCTGCAAACCCGGAGCCCTGCAAACTACTGACCGTCGCAATGGTGACAGCGAAGGGGAAATCCGACTTCTTTCGGGTGTGTTTTTCAGATCTCGGAGACGGAAAACAGAACCGAGTTTCGTGCTTTTTTTTAAAAAAAAATATCACACGAGTTTATGGAGTTGGGGGAAGGCAGAGACACACACACACACACACACAGAGAGAGAGAGAGAGAATGACCCAACGATCCTTCACCTCCTGAACATGCACATACGTGTTGGCTTCGTTTTGAGTGCAATCCTGATAACTGCGAACATCTGCCCACAACACATGTTTCTCTACACGCGTGGACCCTGGCAGCCCCCCCCCCCCACACCCCCCCCCCCACACACCCCCCCACACCCCCCCCCACACACCCACCACACACACACCACCCACCCACCCCTCACACCCCCCACCACACAAACACACACACCCCATTGAAGTTTCACAAACATTGCTTAGGAAATCTGCACAAACTGTTGTCGGGTAGTCCTGACTTGCCTGTCTTTGGTCTCTTCCCAATTCCAACACAGTGAGCAATAACGCTACAATTGTGACATTTAACAAATTCCTCCCTCGCTCTCTCCTCCCTCGTGTGCACCAACACAGACTCTCAATACAAATACATCACCACAACCCACCATTCCCGACCCAGGACACTTGCAAAGGGCCAGTCCCACGTTTGTTTTCAGTAACTTGGTGTTGCACAGCAGGACCAGTCCTCCTCCCTCTCTCCTACTTTGTTCATCAAACCATTCTGTCCTCGGGAACATTGCATTTTATTATTTCTGATCAGAAGACACCAAGTTTACATTGGCAACATAATTTCCTGAAAAGACGCAACTAATACACGACTCATTCAAAGGCGCAGTTTTTTTTTTTGCCCCCATCGCACACACACACACACACACATCTCCTATATCAAAAGGACAAAAGGTAATGACCGGATCAACAGCATTTTCTCAATGAGTTTAGGGGCTGGTGTTTAATGGGGGAGAGGCTGGTGGTGTCTGAGTGGGAGGGGCTGGTGGTGGGTGGGTGAGGAATCCGTTCAACAACAACAACAACTTGGATTTATATAGCGCCCTCCACGCCGGACACGCGTCTCGGAGCGTTCAACCATTGGTGGCTGGGCTTTCAACAACAAACACAAAATTACATTTGTATTGCATCTTTTACGTCGGGAGGATATCCCAAGGTGCTGAAATAGACCCTCCTCAACTGTGCTTAGGGTCACCTCCTCCTACTTGGCCTTGTGCTCTGCACTGTTAAGCGCTCTGGGACGCTATCCTGTGAATGCAAGTTGTTGTTGAAGGGACTGGTGTGTGTTTTTGTTGTGGGAGGTGGAGGAACATCTGGCCCATTGTATCCATGCTCACGCCTTTAAGAGCAATCTTTTCAGTACCATTTACCTGCCCTTTAACCCCCATCATTGCAGCTGACTTTTCTTTGTCCAGTTCCTTCTTGAAGGCAAATATGGACCCTGAACTCTGTGCGTGTTTCTTCTCACCTCTCTATTTTGTTTGTTTACTCACTATTGTTAAATCGATGCCCTCTGGTTACTGACTCAATGACCTGTGATTCTTGTCAAATCAGATCGATCACCCCACAACCTTCCTAGTTCCAACCAGGCAAAAAGAGTCCTCTTTCACTGCACTTACACAAATTACGCAACAACAACATCTTGCATTTATATAGCGCCCGTCAGGCGGGATAGCATCACAGAGCCCTCGACAGTGGTGGAGTCTGACCCCAAGCCAGGGGGAAAGGGGAGGTGACCGTAAGAAACGATCAAAAAGGAAGTTCTTTAGGTGGGATTTGAAAGTGAGGAGGGAGGGGACAAGGTGGAGGGATTGAGGGAAGAAGTTCCAGAATTTCGAACTGGAGTGTCTGAAGGCGGAGCGAACAGTACAAGGGACAAAGAGGAGGTTGGGCCCAAGATTATACTAATGGAATGTATATTCTCTGAACTCGTTCAATCCTTGTAAGTGGTTAATCGGGCGACGCAACGGAGCAGGGAGCACAGTTAGCAGTACGCATGCTTGCAGTTATTGTATTTAATCATGATTATTTCTTTCAAAGTTTTGTCAGGATTATAAACTGTATTCAAAAACAGTTTAAAAACAGATTTCAGATTTGTCAGGATTATAAACTGTATTCAAAAACAAGACTGGGCCCAACTCACAACCCTAAGACCCAGAGTTGCCAGTCGTACCATCTGAGCCAGCCTTACACACAATTTCATTGGAACATATCCATTGTGATATTGCTATGACAATTTATATCACATTGAAGAATCAACAATATCATTCTTGAATATAATCAAGGAGCTCAAATCATTCTTACTTCTTGTTCCTCATGGCGCTGCACAAATACTGTATACGAGTCAAACATACCTGTGCTATGTTCCTTACCCACACTCTCAACAGAGGCACATTCCAAAAAGCGTTCAACCCTCTCAACAACAAGATTCCATTTACCATAGTCTCACACCATAGTCCGAGCCAAAGAGCTGTTTAAGACAATAACGGAAAAGAAGCATTGAAGGCCAATGAAGGAAAACAGCACAGAGTTACATCAGATTCAATACCAGAAGACATGCAAAGTTTGACGCCATTCTGATTCCTTTTATTTTTTTAGAAACAGTCCTCGCGTGTCTTCTGGTATTGAATCTGACGTAACTCTGTGTCATTTTCCTTCATTGGCCTTAAATGCTTTTTTCCTTTTGATGAGTTGCTTTGTAGCTCCGTCCAACCAGGCAAGAGTGCCTTTAAGCATGGTACTTTTGCTTTCCATGGGCACACAATTTTCCATTACCTTCATGTCAGGACCCTGGGAGAAACTCCCTTGCTTTTTTCATGTTGTGGCAAACAGGCAGATTGGACCTCAATTGAATGTCTCATCCAAGAATGCAAAACACTTACACCACTGCACTGGAGTATTATCTTAGACTATGTGAGTTTGAGTTCCGGCAAGGGAGATCTCAGCTCATGAGATCAAGTCCCTCAAGCTTCTGACTCAGAGGTGAGAGTGCTACCAACTAAGCCAGCTTGACACACAATTTTGGGGACTCTTATTAAAGATAAAATCACAGTGTACCTGGGCAGAAATAAAGTTACAAATGATAGCCAATATCGGTTCATGAAGGACACGTTTTGCCAATCTAAATTTACTGCTTTTCTTTGATGGTTTGACAAAGGAACTCAATAAGGCTGTGGATGTTTTATATCTGGATTTTAGTAAGGCCTTTAATCGCTCAAGAGGCTGCTACTGAAAGTAAAGAAGGCAGGAATTAGTGCAAAAGAGTTACAATGTATATGTAACTGGTTGACCAGAAGAACCCAGAGGGGCATGGTGCAGGGATTGTCATCAGACATTGTGGAAAAATGTATTACTTCACACAGGCACAAAACAATCCAGGAAGGGACTATTTTTTGAACAGAAGGAAAATATGTTTGTTTACTTACCAAAGTATCTATCCTTTAGTCTTCCAAACCCAATATTAAGCAGTTTCCTAAAGAACTCAAGTAATAAAATCATCTGGACTCCAAGTTCTCATGGCTGTAGGAGGATTTGGGTCACACACCAAAAAAAAAAAGGTTGATTTTAGCAAGGGAGCTCCACGTCAACCTTCTGCAGATATGCCCAAGCCCCCAGCTTTATACTGGTGCTCAATTATCCGTGCGAGCTGGTGCTCAATTATCACAAAAGTTAAAACCAGCCCTTGTTAGCTCCCTTAACATAGGTTGATCATCAATGACCATAAAAGGTAGTGACAGGGTTTATCCTCCTATCATACTGTCATTTATTGGGCTATTTTCATACAGATAATCTTCCAGTGCGTTTTAATGCGTTTTCCATTTATTAAGATCAGACAAATGTGTCTATAGTTGACAGATGTAACGTTTACAACTCTGAATAAAACATCCACATTTACTTGTTTCCAGTCTATTGGTTGAAATTCTGGTGGACAAGTATTGAAATAATTATTGTCATTTAGTTTTTGTTTTCCCGCCCAAATCAGTTACATTCACATCGTCCGTAGAACCATCTAGCAATCGGTAATTGGTGCAGCCGATCACAGCCTGGCAAGCTCAAACCCATTCAAAACAATTACTTGCATTTATATAATAGCCTTCATGCAGGATAGCACCTTGGAGTGTTTTGGAGAAAGGTTTGCATAGTTAGTAGCCCAATCGAGGGAAGAGGGGAAATGACTGTAGATATGATCGAAGAGAAGGGTCTTTAAGGTAGTTAGGGAAGTCAACAATGTCAACAATTTCAAAGTGCTGTTTTTGATGAGATGAGCTGACGTTGACTGTAAAGCAGGTAAGCTGATCTCGACCCAAAGACAATTTTCTTAAAAATGGCTTGCACAAACACTTGTCAGCTATAAATCAGCATTGATCTTTACTGGTGAACCAGGGTGAGGATCGGGAATAGGAAGCAGTTCGGGAGGCGATAGGGGCAAGGGTGTCGAGTGTGGTGGAGAGGGTGCTGTGGAGGAGACTAAATGCAGAGGATGAGTTGGTGCAGGAGGTGAGCTGGAGTGTAAGGAGTTCAGAGGACTCCAGGGCATCGGAGAGGGATTGCGGGGAGATCTTCTTCCAGGGGTGGTAGGAGATGGTGGTACGTTTGGAGGCAGTGGGGAGAGGGATATAGGAGTTGAGGGAGATGAAATAGTGGTTTCGGGCCCAATCTCAGGTGAAGAAGATGACCAAAGACGCAGTCAAAAAGAAAGGTCCTCTGCTGAGACCTGAAAATGGGAAAAGAGGTGGCGAGAATAACAATAGGAGATGAGAACAATTCATTCCATCAAGTGAACCATGGCATAAAAATGATGTATCTTACATAACTATTTGATTGTGCTTTAATCATAAATTGTCAGTCACCACCTGGCTCTTTGTCAGACATGGTTTGTGCACATATTGGCTGCTGAGTTTGCCTACAAATACGCAGTCACTGCACTTAATTGCTGTAAAACACTTTTTCTACAATTTGACATTATACATGTTAAATCAAACGCAGGGATTATTTTTTATTATTATTGGTGCTCACCATTACATCCATCAACATTTTGAGACATGCTTTATGTGAAAGGCATTGTACCTTTCACAGGATGCTATAATGCAATGTATACTGTCTACGTTTTTCATTGAAAGGTGCGTGCCAGCTCAGGAGGTATTTATCTGTTTTTAGGTGAGAACAGGCTTCGATAGTAGCGGGATCCGGGCATCATTTTGGGATCTTTTCCATTGCTTCAACATAAGCTTTAATCATTTCATGATAGATGTCTTCCAACGACCAAAAATTTGGAGATTCAATTGGGAATAATGTATGTTAATCCTAACTAATAGATAATATTAATCCTTACAAATGGTCTAGCAACTTTAATGTCGGGAGGACATCCCAAAGCGCTTTGCAGAATATACTGTAAAGTCACTGTTTTGTAGGGGACAATTTTACGCAAAGCAATGTCCCAGACAACCATAGAGTGAATAAAGTAGATGTTCTTTTAATGAGTGGAGTGTCTTTGTATGAAGAATCAAAGAAAAATAGAAATATGGAGAGAATGTGATTTTCAGTGTCGTAATTAGAAGGGTGATTATTATTACATTGGCAGATATTCTGGTCCTGGAAATATCCCAGTGGATTAGCTCATTAGGTAAACTCCCCCTCTTCCCTGCCCTGATTTTGTGAAAATGTTGGACCCAAAACTGCTTGCTGTTGTGTTTAACTAGCTATCCCACGTAGATTAGCTATTTTTCCCATGCCAGTCTTTGGGATCTTGCTGCTGTAAATGACGGACATGTTTGCTTGTGAAAAAAACAGTCACTACGCTTGACAGCAATTACCTGTGAAGTGCTTTCAGACGTTTCATGATTGAATATAATTTACATTTATGAAGGATGTTTTGATGTGATAAGGCACTCATTTTGGTAACAAAAATTGCAATGCAATTGCAAAATGACTTGAAAATACATTTGAATAGGGACTTGAAGGGTTATTACAAAGTGCCTACCAAAAATAAACAGGAATTTACAATGATATTTTAAGGATGCCAACAGTAAGTAGACTTTTGTTACCAAGTAATCTCGGGCCCAATTTCAAGTTAATGCTTCATTCCATTTCTTTGTAGGTGACACTGGATCAAATTGCAGCTGCAATAGAAATGCCTGCGCTATTTTCTACAACAGTTCCCATTATATGTACCCGTTCAACATTGAGTTCCACGTCTTTGCATCTGCCATGTTTTACGTTATGTGGAAGAACTTTGGGGCGTTCCCTGGAAGAGCACAGAGCTCTGAAGGTTACCTTTAGGACCTACAGTCTAATGGCAGGTCCAGTTCTGGGAGCTGCAGTGTTGGCAGCCACAATAATAATAATAATCCTTGCATTTGATATAGCGCTTTTCACGTCGGGAGGACGTCCCAAAGCGCTTCACAGAACACACTGTAAAGTGAATTGACTGTATAGGGGATTCTCATTGTGTACAGCTCACAGGTGGGACATTCAACAGCTATGCTTTATCTATACGGTATCACGGTGCTTTGCTTAATGTCTGCAGCAGCTGCAGCCGGTCTGGTCAATTATAGAGTTGACAAAACATCTCTGGATTATTGCAAAAACCCCACCAGGAAGCTGGATGGCAATCTGCTGGTGCGCACAGCAATGTGCCTCTTGGTTTATGTCCTGGTGTTCCATCGTGGCTGCTGTTTGTGGGGAAACACAGTCCCCTCACACGAGGCTGAACTTGTCATTCTCTGTCCTGGTCATCACTGAGAAATACCTACAGCATCTGTTCACACGTCGATCAAAATCCCAGGCGGGGGCGGGGCGGGAGTGGAGGCATTTGCTGCGCTGAATCTTCCGATTGGTCAGAATGTACATCGATCAATATTGAGGGCGGCGCATGGGCGGGACGAAGAGCCGTGCGCATCCTATTGTCTTATTGTCCCGTGGCTCCACGCGGCCCGGGGGTGGGAGGGGGGAGTTGAAGGGTGGAACTTCCGCTCTACTAAGCAGGTTGGGTTGGTCAGTGTATACGTCTATCAGCAGTGCGCGCGGGTGATTGGCTGTTTGGGAGAGCGAGGGGGAGGGGGCGAGGATGACGGCAGCTTCACGTCAGGTGTGTTGGGCTGCGCTCTCCCCCGTGACGTCAGGCTGACCAGCAAAACGAAGGGGGAAAGCGGAGCCACAGCAGAGGAAATCATTACTTTTATATACATATTATATATATATATACACACACACACACACGAAACTCTGGCCCCGTAAACTTTCTGTTAAATTAACTCGTTTCTTTCTCCGCGCCCGGGGGGAGGGGGAGGAGGAGGAAGAGGAGGAAGAAGAAGATGAACTGTCGTCTCGCGCTCCACTCGGTTTTCGTATTTTTTAAAAAAAAGTCGGTTTGACTTCGACGAAGTTGATTGACGAACGGGGACAAACTTTTTGCCTTTGAATAAACCCCATCCGATTCCCCTCCTCTCTGACACACACACACACACACACACATTCTCCCTTTCTCTCTCATTTTTTTTCACTAACACTCCCTCTCCTCTCTCTCTCTCTCTCACACACACACCCTTTTTTTCTCTGATTTTCTCTCACGCTTTTTTTCTCACTCTCGCAAACATCCTCTTCCTCTCTCCCTCTCTCTCTCTCCCTCCGTCTCTGTCTGTCTTGTCTGTCTGTCGCCCTCACGTCCGGTCTGGTCTACCCATGTTGCCTCGGAGTATTGATAGTTGAGATAAGATGGCGGTGCAGGAGTCCGCTGCTCAGCTCTCGATGGCGTTAAAGGTGCAGGAATACCCCACTCTGAAGGTACGGCTGTTGGTGAACCCCGAGGCCGCCGCGCCTGTCCGTGTCCCCCCCACCCCCCACCCCCCATCCTCGGCTGCTTCACCCATTTTCTGAGCAGAAAGAAGGGCTGCTATTTTTGAGTGAAAACACGACCTTTTTTAGTCGCTGACTGAGGGGAGGGGGGGAAAAAAAAAGAGGCCGTTTCAACCTCTTTTGCAGCTATTTTTCCGAGGCAAATCGTTTGTGTCACCGCCCCCACCCAGTGCCGAATTCAAGGTGAAACCAAACCGCGCGGTGGTTGGTTTTCTCTCTTTTATGTAAAACGGTAATCGATGTATTCTGTGTGTGGCTGTTCGGGAGGGGGAGGATGGCGAGAATGCCACGGTGCTGCTTGCGATTAATGTTCAATACAAAATGTCACATTCACTTGTCAGGTTTTTTTTTCCCCCCTTTGTGAGGTTCGGCAAACTGAGAGCAACTGTGGTCCTTGTGAGCGACCCGGAAATTGTAAACAAAAATGTTCAGACTGTCATTATACTGAGAAGAAGCTCAAAAGAACATTGGGGGAGGAGAGAAAGTAGGGGAATGGGAAGACAGTAACAGGCTTCAGTGGGGCAGCTGCGATGGGCAGAATGGCCTCTTTTTGTGTTGTCAACTTTCTATGATTCGTGTAAAGTTGGGACCCATTACAGAAGTATAAAACCAAATGAGAGTATCTTATTTCGTAAACACTACTATTTAATGTTCTGCTATTTTATGCTGCGGCCTACACTGCAATGGGAGTCAGATTCCTATTAAATTAATTGGTTTGTCTAAACAAAGCAGCAATGTTTCGGGTTTGTATTCTCCTCTCCCCCTCCCCTGAGGTGGTTTGTGATTAAATAGTACAGTAATGTGTTAGAAAAGGTTGACTTTTAAAATCTATTCTCCTCTGCAACATGCTTATGGTTATTTTAGTCTGAATCAAATATTGACAAGTTGCTATATGATGCTTTTTCTTGCAGCCTGGCTGGACATTCACTGTTGTAAATAAACTGTTGGATTAGAACATTTTAGTTACATCATTGATGAGTCAGTGTTTTTCTGGAAATTGTTGACATTTCAGAAAGTCAGCCTTTCTCTTCCCAAACAAATAGTCAGTGATTTATTTTCCTATGTGAAAATACAAAAACATTCTTTCATTTAAAGATTCAGTTTTTCAGTGAGAGAACCATTTTTAACCAAAGAAATATGAATCCAAATAATATCATTGATTGTTTCAGCATTTTGCAACCAAACAATTTTAACCTTTGTTTGTAGGTACCTTATGAAACTTTGAACAAGCGCTTTCGAGCCGCTCAGAAAAATATTGACCGAGAAACAAGTCATGTGACCATGGTAGTTGCAGAACTAGAGAAAACCTTGAGCAACTGCCCAGCTGTGGATTCTGTAGTGACCTTGCTGGATGGAGTGGTGGAGAAACTCAGCGCCTTAAAGAGAAAGGTACAATACATGTTCTATGTTATGGTTCGTAACAAACATCAAATGACCTGGAACAATCTGTTTCACAATATTGTCAGTCTTAATTTATAATATTAAATGCTTTGTAATGTAAGTACTGCATGTTAACTTTTTAAAAATACTTTTGCTTATCTTTGTTTTGTTTTAGTTTGTTTCACTGATTATTATTCACCAAATCTGCCATTAGTTACTTGTTGTAGACAGTAAATATATCCGGGTTCACTTTGAGGTAATCTTCATATCACAATAACTGGAAAACTATTCACTGGTGAGAGCAGTTACTAGTGCCTGCCTTTCCGATTCCTTTGAGATGCACACTCCTTGGTGGGACGCATCCTGCTCACCTAACCCTGGAGAGTATCTGCACAGGTTGGCGAGAGTCAAAGCTTTGGGACTGCAGAATGTGTGTTTGCTGACTGGCAAACGTTGTGCTACTTGTCCTGCTGGGACAATCGTATCTTCTTGGGCTTTGACTTGAAAATCTCAAGTAGCAGAGACAACCTAATTAATTTAATAAAACTTGCTCAAGTCTTATCTTTATAAATCGTATTATCGCCTGTCGTATGCACCAGAGTCCCATTCAGTTTCCTACCTAAGATTTTTTTGCACGAATTGTATTTTATAAAGCAAATTGTCTCCTAATTCGTAATGCTACCAGTTGCATTGAATCGCGGGAAATAGTCTGACATGTGGACGCATGCGCACTTACCACTGCATGGAAGTATGCATGCACAGTGGAGATTTCACCCACAAAATATACAGTCAATTCACTTTGCAGTATATTCTGTGAAGCACTTTGAGACGTCTCGAAGACGTGATAAAGCGCTTTATCAAATGTTGTAATTATATAATAGATTAATGATTAAATTGGATTTTATATGACTTATATGACAAGTTTGCTTGTAATTCATACTTTGTGCAAGTCATATTAAATGTTATACTCCCGACTGATTAAGACTTCTGTGAGTTTCACTAAATTGTTATGTTCTGTGAATTTTTTAATCGTTTCAGTTGAAGCAATGCTTGTTATGCCATTCTTTGGAATAAAGCCTTTTGATGCAGCTTCCTTATGCTGCAAGGCTCAGTAATGCTTCCAAGTAAATGCACCCAAAAATGACACCAGTACTTTCTTTTTACAATAATGCTAGTCCGACCCCATTATAATGTGACTTGTTATAGTGTGGGTAGTGGACCAGAGGTGGTATGCTTTCACTCCTAACAGGCATGTGCACGAATCTTGCCAGTTACCGTCAAAAGTCATATCAATAGTGACCTGATGACTCGGAAGTGGGATCTGAATCCTTTTTTTTATTTCAATTGTAATGCACGGTTCAATTTTATGGACCCAAAACACCACGTTGTAATACCAGTGTATTTGTTGGTAATCCTTTTTAAACATGCTTGCCTGCAAATACACAGTTACTCCATTTCACAGTAAATCCTGTGAAGCGCTTTGGGATGTTCTTATCACGTGACAAGGTACTATATCAAATGCAAGGATTATTATTATTATGTTGGATGAGATTATCCATGTGATAAATGTACTTACTATGGTGGGTGAATGTGAACTATTCTGCCCTGGATAGTAAATTTAGAGCTTGGTGGTGTGTACCTAAAATGGGAAAATGCTAAGCACATACTATCCAATCATTCAGTGCCAGAAATTATATCAATGGCAAACTGATGACTCGGATTTATCAACTAGCAGGGAATAAAACTCATTCCCAGATCAAGTTTAGTGCATTCCCAGATGAGTAGAGAGTTGTCCCCAGGACATTCGTATCCTGAATTTGTGCAGAATTAAAAGGTTAATGTTAATCAGAATCTAATTATTAGATCAAGCGGTTTGAAAAAGATCCTGATTCTGTGACTCACCTGAAACATAAACTTGTTTTAAATAAAAACAATGAAATGCACAGGTCCTTATTATGATTGCATTTTTTAATTGATTTGTGATTATTATGATTGTGCAATTTGTTCCACTTGAGTGCTCCAAGACCCTAAGCGAGTCGAGGGTGTTAAGTAAATGGAAATTGTTAGTGTTATCGTTGCTATACGTAGTAGAGTGCTAAATGCAATGGATTACAGATGCAGTCTAATCATTTTTTACAAAATTCTGATATTTGTATATTAACAAGCATTAAATTGCCTGTTCTGAAGAAATACAAACTTTTTGTACCTAAAATAGATATTTTCTAAACAGGTACACCTTAATCCATAGGCTGACAGCAGCGTCAGGGAATGCCATTTTCCAAAACTTCATCCTGCAAGCTATAACATTAAAATTGTTGCCTTACAAGAGTACCTTCATTACTGTAATATTAATCATACACACTTAAAACATTATTTTTGTAACTTAAACATTTATTTCTGATCAGTCTGACTTCCTTCTATCCTTTTCATGCTTCATAGATATGACCAGGTTAACATTAATATATCTCATCCATGGTATTGACAACTTGAGTGCACTAAATGGGCTAACCTGTCCACTGGATTCTAAAGATTAATTCATTGTTGTATGCTTCAGCTATTTTGAATATTTCCTGTATTTTTTTCTGTCAGATTGGAATTTTGGTGAAACAAGTACTGTCAGTTTAGGTGGTGGTAATGGCAGTTTTTGCATTGGCCACTCATTAATCACAATTTTGATCCACATAGATTTTTTGTTCTGTCTGTTTCAAAATGCAACCCGTGAGTGATAGTGCACCAAAGTATCATTCCTCATTTTTTTTGTGTATGTTTGTGTTTATTTCTTTGCAACGTAAATCATTTCTTAGGCAAATATACAACATCTTCTGACCTGGCATTAGTATTTTGTAATATCCTCTTTACTCTTAGTTTCTTATATCTCCCTGGTTGGAAATTACCAGCCTTCAGCAGGCAGAAATCATTTTGTAATCATCAAACAATATTCTTGGATCGCTCTAGCACAATTGGGGGGGTGGGGTAATAAAATACAAATGTTACCTTTTTAAAAAAAAACATCTTTCTGTACAACAGGAATTCTGATGAAATATTAGTCATTTAGCTCACTCTGTAAAAAATCACTTAGTAAGTATGTTATTGTTCATAATTGGCTTGAAGTTGAAGAACTACATGACAATTTAATGTCAAAATTAAATTCTGCTTTGACCAAAAAAGTATTAGATTCCTTCCACCAGTGGGGAGCCAGTAATAAGAGGAGACAAATTTAAGATAACCACAGAGCCTAGTCAATAGGAGGTCAGAAAAATAAACCTTTGGATAGAGAGTTGGTTAGAATTTGGAAATCTACCACAAATTGTAGTTAAGGCAAGAATTCATCAATATTTTAAATCGGAAATGAGATATTGAAAAAGAAGAATATTAAAGGATGTGGATAGGGAGCAGGAGAATGGGATCAGAGTCAATAGTAAAGTGACAGAAAATTTGCCAACGGTGCAGGAAGCTGCTAACTCGTGCATTGTTCTTGTTTGATTTGCATATGTGATGAACTTCTCTCCCTTGTGGTGCAAGCTACAGTAAAACTGCATCTAATTTGCAGCTTTGTGAAAATATTAATACTGCCTTTCGTGTCAGGAGGACGTCTATGAAGCATTGGGCCCAACTGTCTTGTATTGGTATTGTAGGTATTCCAACTATGTTTTGGGGGAAAACCTGTTCACAGGACTCAGAAGGAAAATTCCTCTGCTTATATAAATTCAGTGTTGCCAGCTGGATATTTCAGCAGCACAGCTGCACTTAGTTTAGGTTATTGGACAGATTATTCATCTTGCGAATAAATCATTGAACTTTTTTTTAAAACAGACTTGAATTTGCCTTTTCCTGTGTAGAGTTAACTTATCTCAGCTGTGGCAGCAAGTAGCAATGGTTCGACTGGCCACAACGCCCTTCGACTTTCCACTCCTGATTGCTATCTCGTGACTCCTGCAGGAAGATGTGCAGTGTGGACAGGATCATTGTCAAGACTCACACATTTGCAAATAGCTGCCTGAACTTCAAAGTATCAATATAGAGACTTTCAGATTACAAATTAGAGTGATTTCCTGTGGAGTGCTGTTCCGTAGTGGTTAGAACACTTGCCTTGTAAGCGAGTAGACCCAAGTTCGATTCCTTGGCTGGATAAAACCTTAGGCTAGTTTTCTTACTCCACACATGTCTGTTAACCTAGCAGTAAGCAGGAACACGGTTGTTAATCGATTGGCGGATCGCTTTCTGTGGATGATAATCCCTTTAAAAAGAAATGTGGTCACTCAACCCACGACTGTTTGTGGGACACAGGCTGCTGCGTTTTAACCACCAAATATACATTCAATTCATGTTACGGTATATTCGGTGAAGGCTTTTGAGATGTCTTGATAATGTGATAAGGCGCAATATCAAATGGAAGGATCATTATTACTATTATTAATAACTTGGTTGCAGGAAAAGATGGAGGGGAAATAAGGAATTACAGTTACTTAACTAGCTAGCTAATTAGATGGTTAGGTAGCCTCTTCCCCTAAAAAAAAATCCTCTATTTAAATGTATCTTGTACTACAGCACATTAAACTTCACTTAACTGCTGTATAAAGTTGATCATCTAAAACTCTGCAGCCCGTGTCCTCCTGCACCAGACTCCGTGATCCTATTACCCCCATCCTCGCTTGACTCCACTGGCTTCCCATCACACAAAGGCTACAGTTCAAGATCCTGCTCCTCACCTTGAAAGCCCTCCATGGCCTCGCTCCCCTCCAAATCTGCGACCTACTAAATCCCTGCCCACTTTCTCCACTCAGGGGGCTCCTGCTTCACACCCCCTGCTTCGCCTGCCCTATCATTGGCAGGCTTTCTGCCACTCTGCCCCCACCCTCTGGAACTCCATCCTGTAGTCACTCCGCCTCGACCCTTCCCTTGCCTCCTTCAAGACCCGTCTGAAGACCCTCCTCTTCAACCATGCCTTCCTTCACCCTCTGCCTTCCACCCTCCCTGATCCGGACCCCCAGCTCGGGTCCGAAATACTG